CGACAGGCGCCAGCCTGGCGAGAGCTTAAAGAGACACACGAGAGGTCTCGGATAATTAGCAGAGGAATATAAGGTCGTGTTCGTGAGCGGAGCGGGGAGCTGTTGCCGGGGACCAAGTGTGAAGACATCTCGCCGCTGCTGCTCCATCTGTCAACGCAACCTCAACCCTCACGCCGTCGTTGGGCGGGTGATGGCTGATCCCCCCGCCCGGGACAGACGGGTGAGCGGGTCTGAGGGAGCGTAGGTGAGGGCAGTGGTGGAGGTGTAGAGTTGCTGTGTACGAAGATGCTTTTCGCGGAGACACTGTATGCGGAGTTACTGTGTGCGGTGACACTGTGTGCGAAGCTGCTGTGTGTGAAGACGCTGTTTGCGAAGTCGCTGAGAGCAGAGCTGCTGAGTGCAGGATAAGGGAGGTGAAAGGTAGATGAAAGTGGGGAGAGGTTAAACATAAGTGACTGTATAGATAGTTATAGGAGTGCCTACAACTGGTGCAAGAATAGGTGAATAAAGTGCAAGCAGGTGACTTGTTACAACCTGTCGGTGTGTGTAATTTTTAAGACACTACACATACAAGCACTATTTAGGCTCAATTTTGCTTAGTATCAAAAATGTGATTAAGTCGGATGCATGTTTGATGATTTGGTCATTGTGTTGAGATGATCACTGTTGTCAAATTCTCCTGGCATGTGAAGTGATTAAGTACTGCCTCTGTGGAGTTTTAGCAGTTCTCATGTGGGAAAACCTGCTTTTGTCCAGTGTAATGTGGAATTCACACTGCTGAGCCACAGGTGAAATCTGAGCCATTCCCCATTGGAGCGGGGATAATCATGTTCTTTGGCAATGTTGGACCATTTCGATTTAAAGCTTTCGTGACTGCAAGGATTCATCTTCTTTGGTTCTTTCGGTAACGTCACGTAGAATGCGAGTAAAATAATAAATTGATAAAATAAAATAACACAATACAATTCTCACGACGTTTCGGCCACAACACAAGCAGCCTTCATCAGGTGAAGGGACGAGACTGTCTGGAGGACAGCGCTGAAAACTGAAGACCCAGGGGAAGACGTAGCACAGAGGACTCCATTCCAGCAGACAGCCCTGACCCAGCCTCGGGACCTTCCTTTTATGCCCCCCAGCGTGGCCTGGCTCCGCCCTCGGCCACGCCCCCGGCCACGCCCCCTTCTGGAACCAACAAGAAAGTTCTGGGCCATTCCCCACGTGTCCCTTCTGTCACCTTTGGCCCACATCCTTACCCTGGCCTATTACGTGCCCTTGCCAGCCAATTGGGCTGCTACGTCCTTGGATGCCCCCTCTCTGTCAGCCACCAGCACTTCGCCCCCTATGGACTTGTTCCATGACTTTGCATGCCCTACTGGCAGAGAGGGCTACTACACTCCCAGTTCCCCTCTCTTATTAGTAACTGGCGCTTGGCGCCGTAGTGACCCATTCTATGTCACTACACTTGTACAGTAATCCCTCGCTATATATGTAAGGAATGCATTCCTGGGAAACGATACTTAACTCAACATTTCTTAAAGTTAACCCTTATTTTCAATAGACAATGTTAAAATCAGGGGTTGCGTTCCTGGCCGACATTTATGTAAAAAAGAAAGCTGAACAAAATGGCATGCACTCTACAAAAATGCATATGATTATTTTATTGTATCTCTGGTAAGTTGTATTTAATTATTACTATATGTTTGACCAATTTCGGGTCTTAATTGGTTGTTCACGCTTACGGTGGATTTCAGACCGCATCCACTATTTTCGTCTCCCCCCCCCCCCCCCTCCTCTTTTCCGAACATAGATGGACTCGTCCATCTGAATAACTGCCAAATCGCTCTCCGTGGTGCTAACGTTAAAATAAAAACCGCCACTTTTTTCATATTTTCTTGCTGTGGTTTTCACACCTGATGATGCTTGCTTGTGTTGCAGTCGAAATGTTGTGAGAATTTTATTGTTTTATATTTTTATTATTTTATTGTTTCCCTTCTACGTGACTTTACTGAAAGAAGCAAGAATATGAATCCCTGCAGTCATGAAAGCTTTAAATCAAAATTTTACCAGAGATAGTTGAAGAACTTGCTTATTGAGGCATCTTGGGTTAAGCATTGGTGGAGTTATGTAGACAAATCGGTTTCCTCTCCATCTACAATGACACTGGAGCCATTGTAATGTTCACCAGAGGAATGTGGCTCTCTTCGGCCTCTTCTCCATACATTCTGGGTTTATTACAGAACATTTGAAAAATATTTCCAAAGACAGCGAGACAACATTTTTCTTCTTCTGCTGGAACAGTTCGTAGCAATGAATACCACTGGTTAATGTGCTGTTAGCGCTACAGCCGTGTTCTCTGTTTGAATCATCATCTCTGCAGATTTCTGTCGCTAACTCCCAATGAATCAAAGCATCTGAAAATATTTTTTAAGTGAATACCGTGTAGACAAACCTTGCTTTACACTTGAGATGCATTCCTGGAGAAGTGAGTGCTCATGGGGTCATTATACCATCATTGTATACTTAGGCATGCGTTCCCGACAGCGTTATTTCTTTCTTATGAGCAATATATGAAGGTTTCATTGGGGGTATCGGTAATAGCGCTGACAAAGCAGATGGTAAACATTTAAACATTTAAAATAATCAGAATCTTTATTTAGACTGGAGGAATCCGATGAGCTATCACGCTCTTTTTCACAGATGTCCAGTAAGGGCGGATCAGAACGTTACAACAAACAATATAGAAACACGATAGGGGTGCAAATTATATCCAAGGTAAACGAATCACTTAAACATATATGCAATTAAAACTAAACCTTTTTTTAGCTTACTAGGTAATGTCCACTGACTAGTAATAACATCAGTAAGTAGTATGGACTGGACCCATGAGTGAATTATACTCTACTAATCCTTACAAGGCAGTGGTGGGAGACGAGGTTGGAGGAGCTGCTGCTGCACTGCCAATCTGGGGTCACTCTCAAAGAGCTCCAGGACCTGTCCATGATGGCCTTAGCGATGCCCTCAGTCTGAATTTATGTGGTGAGGTTTCTTTTTAGGTAGAGCCTGAGACTCTATCCTGGTCTCGTGAGATCTCACCGGGCTAAACAAAAAAATCGCCTTCTTTTGTCATCGTATCTTCAACACTGGTTCCCCACCATGCCTCGCCACACTACTCTCGCCTTGCACTGAAGCTCACGGTAGAACCCTGTGCAACAGCATCACTCAAAACCTGCTTTGGACACCATGGGGGTCTCTAACTATTACAGCCCCATGTCACTATACACTCCACTACACACTACGATAAACTACACTACTATACACTATACTACTATACACTACACTACTAAGTACTACTATATAGTATACACTACACTATACTCCTGCAGCCTCAAGTCGGTTCTTTGCTGTCGCCCCCTTGGTGTGGAACTCTCTAATCCCGTTGAACATCCGCAACATCAAATGCACTCTGACTTTCAAGAAATATCTAAAGGCCTCTCTATCTGTCTGGGTCAGGATTTCAAGCAGCCCTGAGCTTAGCTCCACGCCTCTGAGTTGTTGACTTGTGTGCAACATCTGGCGCATTATGAATGTCATTATTAATGTAATAACATTGAAAAAAGAATGAAAAAAATATCATCGTTACTGAATGATGATAATGGAATTGCGGGGGTTTGGGTTTGGTTGGCTCAGAGTCGTGTGTCGCTCTTATTGGCTGAGCAAATGATGGGGGCGGCTACGTTTTCTCGGTCAGCGTTTCATGTTCTCATAAGCTCTCTTTCGATTTTCTTATATTTTTTTATATAATAATCAGTGTTCCACAGTGTCGCGCTAAGCGAGGTCTGCCTGTATCCGTGGTGGTGGTAACTGGTATCGTTTCATTGGCCTCTTCAGCTCGTTGTTTCGGCTGCATCAGATGCTCATTTAACTCCTTGTCGAGTCCAGCTTCCCTCTGCCATGTGGAGGAATATGCTTCCATGTAACAGACGAAGACCCACCATATAGCCTTAACAGACTGTTGTAGCAATTGCTGTTAGCGAGCACCTATGAAGGCCGGCACGTCACACTAGGGGGTAGGTGGCCAACACAACGCCCAGCCGCCTTTGTCACCCAAGTGGCGATATTTACACATCGCACAGTTACTCATTTGAGGCTGAGTCGACCTAGGGGAGGCCCAGGACCGGTTCAAATATTCGTCACTTGTGTTGGCCATGAGCAGGAATTGAAATCGGGTCGCTGGGTTCATATTGTAGCGAGCTAATCGCTACACTACAGCTCCTTTCTAAGTGAGGGTGTATGTGAGGTGTGTCTGTGGCAGACACAGACACATAGACCCTCACTTCGAAACACTGCAATCTTTTAACACACCGGTTTGTCTACTTATGTAACAATAGCCTTATCATATTGTTGGGACAAGTATGCTTCGCAATTACTTTGTCAAGGCCGACAAGACTCACGGAAGTGTGGTGTGGCCAGAACCAAGTCTGGCCGCCTTTGTCTCACTCGCGTTAATTTTTAAACCAATTCTCATTTAATGATTATTCGATCTAGAGTGGGGCAAGAAATGGTTCGGTTAACACTCGCCATTATGTTAGCCATGGCCGAGAATCGAACTTGGGGAGTCAGGATTAATAGTGCAGTGCGCTCACCACTGCACCACTGCTCCCTTTGACATCGCGGAGGGATTTTTCTCTGGTACGCTCTATGCACGTACCGTACGGTATTACAAAGCAAAATAGTGCGTTTTTACCACATGCGTTCCTCGTTAAAAAATTGCACAAACATTGTGTCGTGCAGTTTTTATAGAACGCATTTTGCGAAACATTACACTTTTAAGGACATTTCTTCCATAATTTATCGACAATGTATATGTGAAATAACGCATAATGTGGCAACTTATAATGGGGGATTCCTGTATAGCGAGTACCTAATTTTGCTGTTCTTACCCCAAAACTACCTCCTCTGTCTCTCTGTCTGTCTCTATCCGTGCACCTACCCTCGCCCAGGACCCTCAGCAGGAGGCTGGGGCTGTCAGCATCCCAAGGACAGAAGGCCGCTCAAAGGTACAAAACGCTCCTCTGCCTTTCATTGTTCATGTATTTGGAGTTTTTGAGGTACATATATTTAATTATCAGTCAGCATTTACAATGGAATACAATTTAAATGTATTTGTTAAACATTTTTACTTGGCATCCCCCCCCCCCACGCAATGTTATCCCGATTGTGCTATTGGCATTACATCACGAGGTGATGCATCTTTTCAGAACTCTTGCAGAGGAGCGAAACTCCCATGTCATAGGGAACAGCCTATAGATGTGGATGTCACAGAGCTACTTCTGAGATAATCTTTTGAGATCCTCATTTGGTAGGTCCTCACCACAGGACTCGAACAACTCCTCAAATCAGTCGTTTATTATTTTGGATTAGGTCAATTGAGCCATGTCAATGGCAACCCGGCCAAAATGGCAAGCATATTGCATGGGAAGGGAGGGTTTACAGGGGCTGCAGAAGAATCGTGAAGCTATAGAAAGATAATTTCTGAGCAATAGGGAGAATTGCTTAAGTGTAGAGAGACGCAGAGCTGTGGAGATCATTTTAGAGATATTGTTAGGATCGTGCAGATATCGGGAAGATCGTGGAGATGGAGAGATAAAGGTGAAATGCGGTGGATTCTAAATGCATCCCGGAGTGTAAACCGCAATGCGTAAAAGTCAGATGGGCTACCATGCATCTGCATGGTAGCCCATGTGGGGGTAAGGTTTTTGTATTTATTTTGCAATGTGCTGATGTGAATTATTTGAGAGAGGAAGTGAATAAATAATGCAAAAAAACCTCCTTAACATACACCCAGCACTAAAATTAATTAACAGTCTGGCTCATATTACAAAGAAGCCTGTAACTCCTTTGCAATAGCTTTAAAAATGTGTCAAGAATTTGTAATAAGAATTTCTGATAACATTACAAATTCTGGCAGTACCGGAAGAAATCAGAAAGCCATGATTTTTTTTCATGGATTTCGGGGGTAAACATGAATCTCTGCTAATCGGTGAGTTACATAAATTATTGGAACGTGGATTTTTTTTTATTCCTGATGGTCGACTTAATTCCCTCTTGCGGAGTCACCTCATGCCCTACAGTGGCAGCTACCGGTGAGGATGCCCTATCAAATGGGTGCCGCGGTGGCAAGATGTTAACTCCCATGTCTGGTATGCAGGAGGTCATCGGTTCAATCCTGACCCTGACACCAGTATATGTGGAGTCTGCATGTCTCTTTCCGTGGTGGTGTGGATGTTCTCTGGGTCCTCCGGTTTTTGCCTTCACATTTAGAATCAACATGTATTTATAGTATGTGGCCGCTTTAAATTTCCATGTGATAAGCCACTTCGTTGTGGCCAGGCCACTTCTGAAAAAGAGCTGTATAGCTCAGTAGTCCTTACCTGGTAAAATAAAAATAACTTTTAGTTTTTAGTAAAAAAAAATACGTTAAGATGAGATATGAGATGTAAGTTTCTTATTGCATGTAAAGCACTCTTGAGATACCCCAGAGAAAAAGAGGTCAATCAATAACAACTCATTATAACTAATTATTATAGTATTGATTTAAAGCTTTCGTGACTGCAGGAATCCATACTTTTTGGTTCTTTCGATAAAGTCACGTAGGTAGAAAAATAAAATAAAACAAAAAAATACATATTACGACGTTTCGATCGCAACACAAGCGGTCGTCCTCAGGCGGAAAAAAAAATCCAGCAGTGGAACTGCTGAACCAGCGAGAGAGCTGTTACTAGAAGAGGTTATTTATGTGGCGATGGCTGTTATCTCTGACTCTCGGAGTTGCATTGCCCGGTTAGGTCCATCTGCATTAACGGGCTGGGGTCTCACTAACATGGCCACCTCTGCTCCCTTAGCCTCGATGTATTGATGGTTCTGGCTCTGTGATGGGCTGTGTGTCTCACTGGCGCGACCACCATTGCGGTGGGTCTCTTGCGTGGACGCGCTTGCCTCACAGCGCAGTTGGCAGCGCCGCAGCTTGTGTTACACACAGACATGACATTAACTTGCTAACCCCCCTAATCTCCCTGCCCAATCTCTCCTATCAACATAGTGCTAATCTCCCATTAACACTGCTGTTGTGCGCATATGCGGGACGATGCTCTTATGCGTGACGGAAGCTCATTTCATGCTAATCTCTCTCCCTAATCTCCCCCATTAACACAACTAACGCGCTTGCGTCCGGGGATGGAATTCCTTTCCAGCACAGACCTCGCTTGCTTGCCCATCGCCACGTAAATAACCTCTTGTTGTAACAGCTCTTTCGCTGGTTCAGCATTTCCACTGCTCGATTATTTTTTCCGTCTGAGGACGACAGCTTGTGTTGCAATCAAAACGTTATTATATATTATTTATTGTTTTATTTTATTTTTCTACCTACGTGACTTTACCGAAAGAACCAGAGTATTATTATAGTATTCGCGCGTCTTCCTGAACCTTCTTGTCCTTCCCCGCACCTCCGATTAGCACCTTTGGCTACGTACGCCCATTTCTTCTTGGCGTCAATATCTCACTTGGCACATTTACATGCATACTCCTAAACATTACGCGGTGTGTGTGACTTACAGCTTGACTCCCTCTCAAAGGAAGACCTCGTCAAGTTCACAAAGAAGCAGATGATTCTGTTGCAGAAAACGCGCGCGCGATGCGATGGTTCGTACATCTCCCCGCGCTCTCTGTCCACACTTTCTGCTTCTCTCCTTCCACCCACTCTCCTTCTCACTCTCCCTGCTCTCTGTTGGAGTGCTGATTTCACGGCGAGGTGCAGAAACCATCCCTTTTGGAACGCCTCTCTGTACGTCATTGTGTCGTTCGGAAAATGTCTCCAGTATACAAAGTGTGCGTATGGGTAAAGAACAAAGCAATCTGGAATATCTATTCCGAGAAACAGAGCAGTTCACCAGCATTAGCTTAAAATAGCCTGCCTCTGCTGATGAAGCAGGCAGTGGTGGTGGTGGCTATGCACGTGGCCTCTAACCCAGCACGGTGGAGGCAGTAAGGGTTGGTGGATTGCACAAATGTTGTGGAACTCCCTTCCTGTGGGCGTCGAGGAGGTGCCGAACCCTAGCTAGCCAGGAGAATGCGGTCACAGCAAATATGCGGACTTCGCCTCTTCTTTTTTAGATTTGAAGCTTTTGTGACTGCAAGGATCCATACTCTTTGGTTCTATTCGGTAAAGTCACGTAGGTAAAAAATTAAATAACAAAAGTCACGACGTTTCGGCCACAACACAAGCGGCCTTCATCAGGTGAAGGGACCAACCTGTCCAGTGGACAGCGTTGGAGTGAAGCAAGCTAAGCGCTGGTCGCCTCCTTTTAAGCTGTGAGGGGGTAAACGGCAAACGCCTTGAAAAGGAAATTAGCATAAAACACGCCACTAACAACGCTTGGAATTAGCACAAGATGATAATACACCACCCTGGCAGTTTGGAGTGCCACTATTAGAATAAATATACTGTACCATTGAAAATTAGTTTAATGTTTGGTTCGATTTAGAACATCTTTCCAATGGTTGCTTAATTTGAAACCATCTTCTCGGTTGAAATTGTGTCTGTGTTTTTAAATCTGAATTGCCTCGTGGACAAATCTCTGATGATAACCTGTCGGTTTGCAAAGGACCTTGGTATCGGAGAAAATTATATCATGATCACCCACAGCGTTGTAACAATGATCAGCTACGGCAGAATAATTCATTCTGCCGTGTTTCAAATCTGATTTGTGCTCGCGAATTCGGTCAGAGACATGTCGTTTCGTCTCCCCGATATAGCAATCACCACAAGTGCAGCTCAATTTGTAAACCCCGGGGTGCTGTAAGTCAGGAATGACATCCTTCACGGATGGGATCAGGTCACGGATTTTGTGTACTGTATTGAACCGGACCAGGATCTTGTGTTTGTTTAGAATTTTGCAGATCTTTTTAGTAACGCCTGCTGTATATGGTAGTGTGATGGTTTTGACCGGAGTATCACGTGGTTGTTTCTGTATGGAGGGAGAAACAGCTTGGCGGATGGTACGGTCAGAGTATACTACCATATCATCAGAGATTTGTCCACGAGGCAATTCAGATTTACAAACACAGACAAAATTTCAACCGAGAAGATGGTTTCAAATTAAGCAACCATTGGAAAGAGTATACTCTGACCGTACCATCCGCCAAGCTGTTTCTCCCTCCATACAGAAACAACCACTTGATACTCCGGTCAAAACCATCACACTACCATATATAGCAGGCGTTACTAAAAAGATCTCCAAAATTCTAAACAAACACAAGATCCTGGTCCGGTTCAATACAGTACACAAAATCCGTGACCTGATCCCATCCGTGAAGGATGTCATTCCTGACTTACAGTACCCCGGGGTTTACAAATTGAGCTGCACTTGTGGTGATTGCTATATCGGGGAGACAAAACGACATGTCTCTGACCGAATTCGCGAGCACAAATCGGATTTGAAACACGGCAGAACGAATTCTTCTGCCGTAGCTGATCATTGTTACAACGCTGTGGGTGATCACGATATAATTTTCTCCGATACCAAGGTCCTTTGCAAACCGACAGGTTATCATCAGAGATTTGTCCACGAGGCAATTCAGATTTACAAACACAGACACAATTTCAACCGAGAAGATGGTTTCAAATTAAGCAACCATTGGAAAGATGTTCTAAATCGAACCAAACATTAAACTAATTTTCAATGGTACAGTATATTTATTCTAGTAGCGGCACTCCAAACTTCCAGGGTGGTGTATTATCATCTTGTGCTAATTCCAAGCGTTGTTAGTGGCGTGTTTTATGCTAATTTCCTTTTCAAGGCATTTGCCGTTTACCCCCTCACAGCTTAAAAGGAGGCGACCAGCGCTTAGCTTGCTTCACTCCAACGCTGTCCACTGGACAGGTTGGTCCTTTCACCTGATGAAGGCCGCTTGTGTTGTGACCGAAACGTCGTGATTTTTGTTATTTCATTTTTTACCTACGTGACTTTACCGAATAGAACCAAAGAGTATTCACCTCTTCTGTCTGTACGAGCTTGTTAGCTCGTTCTAGGACTGAAGCTGTAATATTAAAGATGTAAATTAATGGTTTATTGTGTAATTGTTATTTTATTAAGAAATGTAGCACATCAATAATTTTTTTTTAACTTGTTAAATAAAATTAAGGACTTTGGAAGATTCCTCGGTATACAATATTATTGTAGCATAATTTGGAAGCGTAAAGTACACTTACTTCTTGTTGGACGTGCCGAAGAAATAAATAAAGGTGTAGCAGCATTGTTACGTGCAACATGTGTACTTACCTGCATAGCAGTATTGTATGGGTCACGTACACTCACCTCTAGAACAGCCAAGGGGGCTGTTAAGTGACAGGTGTACGATCCACGACTACAATAACCGTTGACCAGGGGTGACGGGGCCAGAGCCCTATGAGGGAGGGGGCTGGGGGGGCCACCGGTCGGACCCAGACCCTCTCCAGAGAGGGCGGTTGTGAGAGCGGAGTATAAAAAGGGCAGCTCTCCCAGCGTGAGTCAGTCCGTACTCACGTCAAGACCCGAAGACATCTAGATAGCGCCCTGGGACTTCCGACCCCCGGCCCTTGTCAGGGCCAGGTCCGAACGGCCCAGTGGCGGCACCCGTTACTCTGGAAAGGTCGGGTGAGCATTGCCTCCCCTAGGTCCCTTAGCGGAGGAATTCCCGATAGCAGAGTATAGTGTGAGGGCACACTAAGTGTGAGGACGTATCCTCTCGGCCAGGGGTCGGGAACCTTTTTGGCTGAGAGAGCCATGAAAGCCACATTTTAAAATACATTTCCATGAGAGCCATATAATATTTTTTAACACTGAATCCAACTAAAGAAATGTCAGCTAAGATTTATTTGCGAGTCAGATGCAGTCATCAAATGAGCCACATCTGGCTCGCGAGCCATAGGTTGCCGACCCCTGCTCTAGGCTATCGGATGGGAGAGGCCGTTACCTCTCTGTGTTAGGGACGTTCTTTGTCGTTAGAGTAAATAAACGGTGTTGCCTACAAAGAGAAGTCTCTGCCTACTTTGTCAACACTACAACTGGTGTTAGAAGAGACAGAATCCACACCGCTATGGACACTCAAAGCAAAACAACACGCGCGGGCACCTCTGAAGACGCCGCCGAAGACGGGCTGCACATGGGTCCCGGAACCTCGTATGAGAGGGGTGATGAAGGGCCGTCCATCACGGTAGACACGGCTGGGCTGCCCAGCTCTTCGCCGCCGTCTATGGACGACATGTGCGCGCACGCTCGCAGCTCGCCGAGCTCCTGCACGCAGCAGCATCTATTCTCGACCGGCTACACGTCGGCGAGCCAGGAGTAACAAACCGACTGATCGCGCCTACAGAAGCTATAGCGGGCGCGGAGATGTTGTAATCAGCTGCCAGTCTCAACGACATTTCCACTGAGATGGTCGCCACGGGCGACTCAGCCGCATCCAAACCACCAAATTCTCAGCCTTTACAACAACGGCTGCCCGGTATTAAGGCGTTCTCCACGGCCAAGGGAGATTGGGCTGCCTTCAGCAGGAGATTCCTGGCCAACGCAGAAACGGCGGGGTGGTCGGAGGAAGACGCGCTCAAAGCTCTCCCTTCGGCTCTGGATGATGATGCCTTGGTGGCATTTATCTCAGTGCCACTGGCGGACCGCTCCACCCTCCCCAAGCAATGAAGCAGCTGGCGGCGGTCTACGACCCTCCATCACACTCGCGCCACCGCTTCGCTGACAGGAAGCGAGGGATTAACGAGACCCCCCTCGCCTACCGCAGCTCCTTGCTGGCACTTGCAAGAGCTGCATATCCACGAATGGGAGAGGAAGGCATTGACGCTCCTGTCATGGAGAAGATGTTGGCGCTAGCTCGTGAGTTACGTGTGATGGTGCAAGCCATCGACGACTCCGACCTCTCTTCTCTACAAGTGACGAAGAGCATCCAAGCACACCTCTTCTTCCAGCGACAAGGCACAGCGCCGACTTGTGTTGCCTCTGTAACCACTGCCGTGGATCGCTACGGAAAATCTTCCTCCCGCTCAAGCATGTGCTGCACAAGGAACGCCCAGCTGGGGAAATCGTCCACGTCGCCATGAGAGAACACTTGCAAGAGGACGCCTCAACGTCAGGACTACAGCACCATCTCTTGCTACAACTGCGGGCTGCAAGGGCATGTCGCATCGGGCTCCCGGGTTCTTCGACGGTGGCTCCTGATGACTCCAACACCGACGGGACGATCTTCCACCTTTTCCCAGCACTCAGAGGCGAGTCGCGGCACCCCACATACCCGGCCAGATAGCACACCTCACACATCTCACAGCGTCGTTTGGGGTTGTGCGTCGGGTTGCGCCGCACCGCGCCGCGCAGAGTTGTTCGCATGATAGACTGCAGCTTCGACCGGGTCAGTGGCCGGAGCTGCTCTGTAGGGTGATCGCTGCGACTGCGGGGACGTCGGTCATCACGGGTTCCATTGACAGTATCAGGTTTAGAACACTCAGTTGATTTATGACATGCTGCCCGGGAAATACCACCCTCTGAGCCCTGTTGAAGTGCCTTGTTACGCGGCCAACAGTGGATCACTCGGTATTATAGGTCAGCTTCATGCTGAAATTTCTATAGGGGATGTTAAATTAGCGGGACCGATTTTGG